CTCCCTGCTGAACACTGGGGTGTCATTCCCAGCAGTGCTCAGAAGAGAGAACTGATTTCATACCTCCAGCCAAAGGGGCAGGTCCAAAACAGCCACAATGCATCTCCGTCAGTGCTTCTTGGCAAAAAGGAACTTAGCCATAATTTCCTCCAGCTCCCAGGCTCCCTGGCATGGGATTCCTCCAGGTACACTAGGTCTTGGGATAGCTCCATCCCTGTGTCCTCCCAGGAAAACAAGCCCAGAGCTGTTGGGCTGGAGCAAGACCCACTGTCTCACAAACAGGTATTTGAGCCTCCGATGTTACTGCTGATGTTTTTAAAGAAACTTTGAGTACATTCAAGGTGAATTTAATAACCTCCTGTTATCCAGAAAAGGCAAAGTACAGAAAAAATAAAGATCTCACCTGCACTTGTATCTATTATGGTCAACTCATGTTAACAGAATGTTTTGCTTTAATACTTGACTTACATTAATACCTCACATTATTACACGTATGAAGCCAAATATGACGCTAACTTAGCTGCTTACAACCTCAAACCTTACTCCCAATACACATTCCAATAAATTTATTCTGTAAAAACAATACATTTTTTTGTTTCCTTTTTGTTTCCTTTTTTGTTTTTTTGTTGTGTTTTTTTTTCTTAGTTTTTTACAGTAAACTCGTCAACTACAAACCTTGAATACGCAAAAGATGTTCCAAGGACAAGCATAACAAGGATTGATAAAACCAGACTAAATATGTTTTCACAATAAAAGCTGGCATAAAAATAAATAAAAATCTCTATTATCACAATAGCAACAATAATGTACACAGAATAATGGATTTGGAATGCTTACTTACTAGTCTAGTTCTATTTCCAAAAGGAAAAAAAAAGCCAGAATGACAGCATCCTTTTTTAAGCCTTTCTTTCATTATTTAAAATGGATGTTTTCTTTTGGTTTCCCATAGGGTTCTATATCACAGTAAGCTTAAAAATGGAAAGCATCCAAATGAATGGTTTCAAATTGTGTTGGCATTGGAAAAAATCCTTGTATTAATCTAAAGAAACACAAAAAGACTTTCACTAACTCCACATATAGGAACTAAGTCAGATAGTGTACATTACATCATGATTTTGAGAAGTATTAAGAGTATAACTAGCTAGGTACTTCTAATAAGGAAAGGTATTTTATTACATTATTGAACTTGGTGGTGATCTCAACTGAAGAAGAATTTTTCTTTTATGTCGTAAACTGATCAAAATCAACAAAGTATGGATAGAGGGAAATTTAAAGTTATGTTTGGAGGTGGAAGATATTGTTGTAGTCTTGTATGGAGGGGACTCATTTCTAAGATTTACTTGTTTTTTAAAAAAATGCTGATTTAGCATGATATAATCTGGAGTTACACCTTTTCTGTCTAGAAAAGGAATCTCATACATGTTCAAGTATGTGATATCTTCATAAACCTCAGCCACTGGTAAAGGGCAACTTCATGCAACCAAATAATATGAAAATCAAAAAGTAACCCTTAGAAAAAAGGGTACAATGTCATTGCTGCAAACACAACAGATAGGAATGTGAATAATGTGCATACAAACTGGGATGCTGTTGATGATACTAATGAGCAGATGTGGTGACTCATATCAAATCCAAGAATATTAGACAACCAAACATGTAACCTTCTCATGTTTTCCCTTAATATTCAGCAGTCATTATGTTGGTTAAGTCTGAAAGAGAGAAAGAAAAGAAATCACATTTAATGTAAGCAAAAGGATGCTGCAACAAACAACACCATTAATGCCATATTCCCCTGCTTCAGAGTCACAGGAACAAGTAACCACCTTGCCCATTCAAACAGAACTTTTTTTTTAGAGAAAACTGCTTATGTTACATCAACTAAACATTCCAGTACAAAATATTAAAAAACACAGTTTAAAAGTAAACATTTAGGGCTTTGCTCGAAGAAGCAGCTTGAATCATGTATATGGGTTGGGTTTTGTTTTCCCCCATCACTTAATAATGAATATTTTGTGCACAACCAAACCTGCATCTTCCCATTACACTAAATCCCTGTTGTGCTTTGTGGCAAAGCTCAGGCACTGCAGTATTCCTGAACACCCTGTGATGGGAACACCCTTCTCTTCAAACAAATGAACACTTAGCAAGGATGAAGAAAGAGAAACATTTTCAGAGCTAACATATCTGAAGGTTGTTTCTGAAAAGGAAGACTTTGGTTTGAAGTTCACTGTCAGGTGATGATGGAAAAGGAAGAAGCTCTCACTCTGTGACTGAGTCAAGGTCAGCTCTTGCCTCCACTGACATTAGTGGGAACAGGATCAGACTGTCCTCATGTAATCATGACAAGTGTCTCCAAGTCTTGCTTTCTTCATATTAAACAGAGATGGCAAAATTCACTTAAGGGCAGAGGGCCACACCACTTTTGTCCAACAACAGGAAGACATGGCATCCTACATGACTACCTGACCCTGAGCAAGATGTCCCTTGTCCTTTGTAAAGAATTCAGAGCATGAATGCTTGTCCACCCACACCCTGGAACACAACATACAAGCAGTACAAAGGAATTAGTACTGTATTTGGTGGGATCATCCAAGAAAAAAATCAACATCAAGGAATAAGTGTCTGGGTACAGGTTAAATCCACTGGGGATGATGGAATTTTCATTTTACACTGGATCCAGAGGAGGATATGAAAAGCAGACGTTAACATCCCCGCAACAGCAGTTTGCTCTCTCCCACTCTGGTCCATCATACCTGCTGTGTGTGATGCCATGGCTAGAGTGGACTCTGCTTCTCCATCCAGGAGGCTAAGAACATACTAGTGCCCCCCACACAGTCTGGGATGTGCCTTGGAGAGGTTTGCTGCTGCTTCTTTTCAGAGGGAAGTGCAGACATCCATTAAAACAACTACAGATCATTAGTCAATCAAGCCATGACTTCTGCTGAAGTTCTTAATGACAACTGCCACCCTGCACAGATCCAGGAAGGAAAGCTGTCCTTTTGGACCATGAAACCTTTCTGATTACTGACAACAGTTCCCCGCTGGGCCAAGGCCAGAAGGTGGGGCAGACAGTGTTCTCATGTGGGGCACTGGGAACATTGATATTTCCTCTCCTCACTGTCTCACAGATCGGTCTGTTGGGCCACAGTGTGCCCCAGGAGGGACAATAAAGAGTCAGGTGTACAGATCATCCTCTAGAAGAGTGAGTTTCTAGTACCATCTTCCAGCATGGCACACATTTGGCCTCCTAGGAGCCCCAGAAGTCAGCAGGTTTCCTCTCCCTGTCTGCACGCAGCCCTGGGGCTGCGCAGGGGCCGCGGCTCCTTCCCCTGCCCGGGCAGCAGGTGCTGCTGGGCTCCCTGGGCAGCTGCTGAGCAAGGACACGGCAGAGCTGCATGGTTCCAGTGGTCTCCATGGTTTCATGTCTCTCCAGAAACAGGTCAACACGCATCATCTTTGTTTGACACGTCTGTCAGCTACACTCCAAGATCTGGTACAAGCTGTGCCCTGACCAGTGCTCCTGCACAGCGAGGGGATGGCACAGAACCTGACTGGTCTGAGTGAAAAAATTCAGTCATCAGTGAAATTAAAAAGACAGAGAGCACAGAGAGCAGGGAATAAAACTAAACCCACAAATTGCTTTGTTTTTTCTGGCACTGAAATTCCTTCCTCAACAGTGTCTGGCACCAATTCAGCCATTCTGTGCTGTAAAGGCTCTTGCTGGATGGGCAGAAGCATAATTATTTACTTGCTGCATATGATCATTGTTATTCCATGTTGTTTTCAGGTCAAAATGGCTACAGGATTCAATGTACACAGAGATGCAAAGAATATATTTAATCTCTACTGGCTGCTTTAATCTCAACTTGCATTCAGACATAAAGGTTCCTCCTGAGTTTTCTCCTGTTACCTTAGCAGTGCTGTTATCCTGAGCTATATGATGCCAGCAGCAAACCCACCTCTTCACACTAAGCATTATGATGTCACTATTGGATTTTTACACAGAAATTTTTACTGTGCAATAGTTAAACACATTTTTGCAAATGTTACCTTTTGTGAAAGGGTAGATTTTCACATATCTTAAATTGCTGAAAAAAATTCAGACAAAAAATACATGTTCTGTTTTCATTTTCTGGAAAAATGCCCTAAATGTTGTGCTTTTAATCTTGGTAAACCCCTCAAACCTCTTATGCACCCTAACCAGTGTTATTCTTGAGAAGGAAGGAAGAGTGAAGGAACCAAACATCTCAAAACCACATCAGAAGGACACAAGAACCTGTGTTTCTTTGGGCCCTAACACTTGTCTTTCATTGCAGTAACTGGAATTGTTGCTACCTCACAAGAACATCACAACAAAAAATACATCCTGGACACAGGCCGTTTAAAATATGTTCTCCCAATTGCAATAGTATCAGATGGCAGTAATTTTGGACCAGATTTTGATCCCCTTATTCATGCTGGCAAGCAGTTGCCTCCACAAATAGATCCACTGACTCCCATGTTAGTAACTGATTGTCAGTGTGAGTAAAAAGATCACAGTCCTTGACCCCACTTTATATTCAGGCTGTACCAGAAGGAAAAGAATAATAGATTAATTTCCAAGAAATCTATTATTTTTTCAAAGACTGTTTTTCAAAGTAAAATTATTTGCCTCCTGAAAGGCAACCACCAACATCTGTACACAAAGAAAATGCCTCATTAACCAACACAATGTCCAGACTGTAACTAAAATAATGAATACCAAAAGAAAAACTTGCCACAAACCCTGATGGCTGACATTGACATTCAAATACTCTGTAACAGGGCAGGACCTGCAACCAGCTTTTAAACATTATGTGGGTATCCAGAAAGTAAAAGTAAAAAGCAACTCAGGTGTTCAGTTATAAAGATATAAAGTTATGCCAGCCAAGAACCAAACACATAAGTTAGAGAGATTTAAATGTGGAATGTAAATCTGCTGCCATGAATTCACTGATTTGTGAGCTAATTTTGTACCATACAAAGTAAACAGCACAAAGCCATGAATACCTTTCCACTGGAATATTCCTCTTTATGTGGTATTTTGAGAAAGTTTAGTAATTACCAGCAGATGACTGTCATGGGGGTGGGTCAGTGATTCTTGACTTGAGCAAACTCTGGGATGGGCTGTCTTAGCAAATACATTATTAGTTAATTAGTGTTAAGATAATAAAACACTGAGGTTCAGGTTTGCATTTTTCTGGAGAAGGAATCAGAAAAAGAACAGCAGTGAGGGAAAAGAGCTTTAGAAACAGGTAGTGGCAGGACACAATTATAAAGCATGGCTAATTCTGTGAAGCTAATGTCTCTTTTGTTGAGAGTGCCTGTAATTCTCAAGAATAGTTGAGAAACTAAGTGATAGAAAAGAAAGCAGCTTTATCAACCCAGGGGTTAAAAAAAAATAATCACAAGTTGAGCCCTTGAACAGTATGAAATTGGCTGAAAAAAACATCATAGCTTCAGAATTACTTTTATTTTGTCTGGGTTTTGAATCTTTAGGAAGCCATCACTTACATCCTAAAGCTTTCCTCTACCACCTGGAGGTTAGAAATTTTATTTAAAAATATAGATGAAGATAGTCCTGCAATCATATGACCTCAGCTGTTAACTCTTCAAGAAGATCCCAATAATGTTGGGGTAAGGTTCCCTCTGGTCAGAAAAGGGGAGATGTGTCTCTAGCCTGCAGTCCAGGCATTATAAAACATAATCACTACCTCATTGGTATTTTTAAGAAAAAAACCTACTACTTGTGTCCTTTAGGCAGCTCTTGCATGGCCAGAGACCTGCAGAGGACAGGATCCAAAGGCTCTGCAGGACCTGTGGGCAGCACTACAGGTCGGGGAGATCAGCCCTTCTGCCCACCTGCCTTCCAGGGCCCTTCCCAGCCTCCCCCCGAGGCAGCTTCCAAGCCGCTGGTCATGGTGGCAAAACCAGGGGGATGAAACATCCCTATGTGGTGGTCTCCTGCCGCCACCTCCTGGCCAGCTCCAGGCCCTGAGCTCAGCCAGCTGATGGCCCAGCTGCTCTGCTGCACACCCGGCAGGAGCACGAAGCCCATCATCTCCAGTCTGTGTGTTTGTTGGTCCGATGCTGACAAGCTGATTTTAAAGACACCACAACCTCCTCTATGACGGTGTCTTTTAGCAGGCCTGGACATACTTCTGGACTCATGCATGTGAGCAAGAGGATCATATCCCAGCTCTGCAGGCACACACTGGTCTTTTTCCACCTTCCTTCCTATAGAAGTCCCAGAGCACGGGCTGGAGGAGCTCAAGGCCCTCCAGCAGAAGGGCCCGGTACCCCAGAGCTCAGGCGAGAAACGTCCTGCCTGGCTGCCTGATTCACACCAGCCGAAAAACCATCCATCTGGTTATTCTTTCCCCAAGTGCCGTTTGTCTGCGGAAGGTGCCCCTTCTAAAAAGGCACGGGTCTGGCTGTGAGGATGCTCGGAGACAGAGTGTCCCCTCCTGGCCCTACAGGAGAATTGCACTCATGACAAAAACGAGAAATGGGATTAACATGTGAGATGCTGATGCTGCGGCAGAAATGCCCAAGATTAAATATCTGCATCAAGACGTGAATTTCTCCAAATTTATCACTGCTTCCATCTTAACCTGCCTGTAAAACTGTCTCTCCATCTCTTAAGTACATGCTACTAAAACTCCACCCTTCCTATAATGTAAAAAGTATCCTAGACCTGGTCATTGAAGCATGAGCTCATGCCCAAGTGCTGGGGTAGCAGAAGTGAGAGCAGAGCCAACCCCTCTCCTGGCTGTGACAACATTGACTGCGTATTTCTGTGGAGTCGGTGCTGGCAGGGAGGACACAGAGACTGAGGATGGCATTTCAGCACAGGGGCTGAAGAACCTGCAATCCTCAAAAAGCTGCAGTGTTTCACACAATGTTTCTGGCATGCTGGACTCCACCTTCCAGCAGTTACAAGCACGTCACATACAGAAGGAAGAGCCATATGAATGTCACCAGCTACAAAGACAACAAACATCCTATGTGACTTTTTAGCCACTTAATCAGCAACTGACCTAACTCAGTAAGCATTTGGTCCTTACATGGAGAGGAAGCCTGAAGTTCACAGACACATCCCCTGTCACTGCCTTCCTAAACCTCTTGCAACCTCAGATGGACTTTATGGCCAGTTTTCTTACACAGATAACTCTCTGAAGATATGTAAGTGTCACAAGGTTCACTAGCCAGAACGTGGGCAACACAGGCACTATGCACTTGCCACACTCATCAGCCCAGACTCTCAAATTATGCAGGTGTTTGGGGGAGAAGTTGAGTTCTTGAGCCAGTCTCTGGCTAAAGCTAGATGCTTGTTCCTGACCCCACGAACCACGTAACAAAGTCTTTATAAGGTGAAGAGCCACAAAACATACACTGTACCCCAGAGAGACAAGAGAAAAGGAAGCTCTGTGAGAAGTGGGAGACAACAGCAGCTCCCCAGAGGTTGTGTTTTGTGAGGAAGGGTTGAGGCTGAGCACACAGCAGGGTGCTGAGGCACCTCGGCAGCAGTGTCAGATGGGCGCCTGTGCTGGCTGGGCTCCTCTCACACCTGGGGCTTCGTGTCACTCAGCAGCTCCTGCAGCAGCCCAGCCTGGCTGCTGGCCACGTGGCAGAGCCCTGGCACAGGGACCAACTGCAGAAGAACTGGTTCTGAGTTGGAGCTGTAAGTGCTGGAGCAGAGAGGCTTCTGCTGCTCCGGAGGCTCAGAAATAGTAGTGGTTGCTACAGGTGGCTGATGATTAACCAGTTCCCCTACCAATTCCCCTGCTCAGCAGCCTTCCTTTCTGTTGTGGTCACAACAAAACAATACTGATGTGAACACACAACTGACAAACATACAAGGAGATCATATGAACCTGGTCTGGAGCAGACTGTGTATCCCGTCCTTGGAAGGTCATATCCCAAGCAAAAATCTGCCCTAAAATCTGCAGTATGCTGAGCCTGTAAAGTGCACATGAACCCTCATGAACTACAAAGAAGTCAGTGGGACTGCACAGATTTTAAACTACTGTGAAAGGATAAGCAGGCTCCCACTGTTTAGTGAGCCAGAACGCATTACGTCAACAGTCTGATTCTGCTCTCACATCAGTTTTGCATCATTCCAGCCCATGGTTTTCAGTAGTTCCTCTCAGCTGACATGCATGCAAGTGTTGGAACAAAAATACTGCTTATAGTATCTTTTCTCATTCAGCTGTTTCTCTAGAGCAAAATTTGTACCACTGCAGGGACAAGTCCCATGTTTCTGATCTAGAGAACTTTTGAGCACTGAAACACAACACGACCACACGTGACATGCATAGATCACTGCAATGCCCTTCACCTCTAGATCCAAAGCCCCCCAGTAGCAAACTGCATGGGAAGTAAATTATATTAACAGAAGATTACCCCTTCACTGGTTTTCTGCAAATCTGAAGAAGTGTTTCTTGTGTCATTGCCTGCGTCCCCAGCATCAGAGCTGCTCTTATTTTCTTCCTCTTTGCAGTCCTTATCATCTTCATCTCCAGGAGATTTCCGTGACTGCTTGGAGGATTTCTAAAATGATTAGAAATGAAGTTAAAAAAGTAAAAACTGAGCTTCAGTCAAGAAAAACACTTTTGCAATGTGTGTGGAATGCTGTCTGGTCATGTAGTTCCTTTTAATACTGGGGAGGGATATGTGGGGTGAAAAGCACTTTTTGGGTGAAGTAGTTGGAGTTACTGCCATCAGTGAAGCAAAAGGAGAAATTCTGTGTTCAGCACAGTTTGGCAGCACAATTGACTGTAAGACAGACACAGTAACAGGAGATGGGTATTAGTGTTGGGTCACCTGTAGGTTTTGCTAGTTAATGAAACAGATGGTGCCAGCTTGACAAAAGTTTTGATTAAACACAGAGATGTAAAATGAGAATAACATTAGCAGAGCTGCTTTCCATACTTTTTTTAGTGCTGTCAGCTTCAATATATTAACATTAAAGCCATGTGGAACCAATACATCGTCTCTGCTCCCTTTATGTTATGCAATTCTACAGTACAAAAGGATAAATTGTGGCATTAAGCCACCATTTTCCTAATCCTCTGTTTGCCCAGAGTCTTCTGGAAAGATGACGGTAGACCAGACCTGAATTTCTAATGTAAGACACACAAAGGGGGTAAAATTACTTATAACATTTTGTTCAGTGGATAAACCACAAAAACTGCTGTCTCCCAAGCTAAGCCCGGATCAGATTGTGTGCTTGCTTCTTTCTGAGAACAACATGAATGTGAATGAACTTGACTCTGCCACAGTTCATGCACAATTTAAGCAAAGCACAGACCTGGAGGCACAGACAGAACTGGAGAAAGTGACTGCAGTGTTGCTCCCTTTCACCCAGGTGACAAGTGAGAAGCATATCTGAGCCCCAGGTTGCTCCCTTTCACCCAGGTGATTACATCCACCAGCCATTATGAGGCAGTATTAGACACACTGCCCTTAGCTTCCTCATTTACACTGTCAGATATTAACAGGTCAAGTAGATACTACAATTCAGGTCTTTTATCTTGAAATGGAGTGCCCTGCTCAATTCATTAGTTCTTCCTTCCTCCCAGTCTGTCTCCTGTACATTTTACACTGGGTTACACAAGGAGCAGCTGAGCACACTGACCACAGCACCTGAGGCACACACTCTGGGGACAGGAGAGGGAAGCCTGACTTCTCCCAAACAGGAACCAGACCTGAACTCATGTCTCCCAGCAGGCAACTCCTAAGCTTTTTTTTTTTTTTTTTTCCTTTCTCTTCATGGGGAAATATCTATTTAAGATTATCAAACCTATCAATCCATCCAACTGAGCAGAGTATTTCAGCTACTGTCTCACCAAGTCTGACTACAAAAGCAAGAGCACTTCCCTTTGCCTGCTTGAACATCATTGTTATGGTACTGGAATAAAAGTGCTGAAGAAGGAAGAACAGATTGCCATGAGGTGGGCAGTATTCTAATTATAAATGCACATAGGGAATAAGAAGCTAACCTTTGAAGTGTAGGATTTTTTCCGTTTTGAGCCTGCTTTTTCATTCTTTCTTTTTCCTTTTCCATCTTCTTCTACCCGATCGCCTTCCTCCTCACTGCTGGCATCTGCTGTATTTCCTCCTTCTCCTTCAGTTTCTGACGAGCTCTGCTGCTGGATTGCCTTTAAAGTAAGAATAACAATAACAAAATCAACAACAAAAATATCACTAAAATCTATTACTTAATTTTTGTTCTGTGTTGAAGACAGAAATGCTGGTAAGCTGTAAGGCAGCTTACAATTTGATTGTTATTATCAGGAGGAGCTCAGGTTATTGCAATTACCAAGAAAAAGGGCTGCAAAGGCAATTTTTCCCAGTCACCACTTGGAAGCAGTTATCAGATGCAGATTTTGGGATAGCCTGTTCTGAAGGGTTTACACAGAAACAGAAGATCTGAGAACAAATATATGTTTGCTGGAGAATCAAGTGTTGCTCAGTGGAGAGGCCTGGCATGTTCTACTTTGGGAAAAACCATGGAAACTTTCAGAATTTGGCTGCAAAAGGGAAGAAGGGAGAGAGGATGGCTGTTACACCCCACCCCCTAAAAGGGCATGATCTTTGTGTTAGGAAAAACCAAACACTGACCAGAAGGCTGAGAGCTCTTTGACAGTTCATCTCCCACAGACTATTCACTAGATTTTTTTTTAATCCCCAAGTGTATGCAAAACATCTGTAGGGCTGAAAATATGAAACAGGAACTGAGAGGGGCAGCAGCTTGTCTGCAGGTGGTCCATATCTCTGGTTTGTAAGGTTTTGTGCTAATAATGTAATAGGTGTGTTTGCCTTTTGGAGGTGATTTCTGCCTTCAAAGGACCACATTTTTTTTATAAGAAAAGTTCTTTGTTTTTATACAGCCCACCAACTACTGTTATCCCCCTCTGGATTCACTGATTTTTCTCTCTGGACATCCAACAGGGAGAGCTGTTGTACAGCAGCTACTATCTTGGAACAGCAGCTTAAGCCTCCACTTTCTCAGCCCTTACAACTTCGGTAGTGGTGTCCTATGTGTTGAACACTACCAATGTAAAAACCAAAAGTGTAGTGACCTTAAGGTCTATGTAAAATACACTGAACTTGAGATAAAAGCAAACAACAGAAACAGACATTAGTCATGTTTATACTGCAGTAAATAAAACCTTCCCTTTTTAATTCAACTGGATCTGTTGCAGAATTTTCCACTTCACCACCCCAGAATATCACAGAAAGCAAAGGGCTCTGCAGTATGATTAAAGCTGAGTTTGTCACAGTGCAAGAGCACAGTTGTCTTACATGACACAGTTACAAAAACTGTGAAAGTTTCTATCTCCACCAAAACCAGGACCATCCCCATCACTCACACAATGTTTACAACTGACAAGTCTTCAAACAAGAACAATAAGGAGAAACAGAAATGAAAGTAATTTACCTGATATCCAGTAAACTTTACTCCAGGGTTGTTTTCTATTTCCCACAGGCCTTCATTAAATCCTTTTCGCTTGTTTGACTTCCCAAACTTATCTTTATATTCTTTATATGGGAAAAGGTCTTTGGGCCCCAGGAATGCACTGCATTTTAACAAAGGTAACATTTCAAAAAAACTTCCACATTAACAGTCAAATGTTTTCCCTATTCTTCTGCTCATTCTTTAATTTCTTTTTCAGTTTTATTTGTTTGTCTGTCTACCTACCTATGTATCTATTTAACACACTGGCTTTGAATTACTGCTGTGAGTCTGATTTAATGGATTGGCTCACCATCCTGATGTTTGATGTTGCAAAATCATACTGAGTCTCTCTAGAAAAAACAAAAATGAGTCTCACTTATTATATTACCTCCTGCTGGGAACTGGCACTTGAACGGTTTATGAAAGAGGTTATGTGATGTGATTGTCTGTGATAGCAAGGGAGCAAACTTCCAACCCTATGTGTTACAAACCCAGAAAGGCCTAAAAATACCATATGAAAAGTTAAAGTATGTAAGGAGTGCCTAGAACCCATAAGCCAAAACTTATCCCTTGTACTTCTGGAGAAAAGCAGTGACATTTATTATTAACTATAGTGCCAGTAAGCCTGGGAGCTTTTTTCTTGGAATAAGCCCCCCATGTGTTAGATTCTGTGAAAACACAATAACAATGTTCTCATTCCCAAAAATCTTATAATTTCATATAAGACAAGAAACAATGGGTGAATATAGGCAGATGAGTAATACAAGGAAACAATGAGACACACAGTGTGCTTGTGGCCAAATTGTTTTTTAGACAGCACAGCAAAGGAGGGATTTTGTGCTTTGCTGCTGCATTAAGTCAGCTATGCACTGGGCCAACTATTTTCAGGCACAGGCAGTACAATGCAGGGAAAAAGAATTTTAAAAAGGGAAGAGAGGTGATGTGTCTTGCTTTTACAGTAAAGTTCTAACTTCTTATATAAAACTGAAGAAGGTGCAATTTCCTCTTCATTGGATATCTGTATCCAGTGTGTTTACTGTGCTCTGTATCATGGTACTGGGATTGCTAATCATAAGTGAAATTAAAAACAGTGAAGGCAAAAAACCCCACTTCATTCCCACATGGAAGATTCTGTGTCACCAATGACCAGAGCTAAGCAAGTCACAGTGTCCTTCACACCAATCACTGTCCTTCTTTACTGATGATCTTTGCAATTAACATTAGCTCTATGGTCTCCATTACCACAGGATCCTGGAGCTCCACCACTTATAACACATTTATTCTCCTAACAGCACCTCAAGGTTGGGAAGTTGCCCATTTTTGCAGCCAGGCTTCTGAGGCACAGAGGTTTGCCCAAGGTCAAACACAAACTGATGGCAGAGTACAGAGGAAAGCCCAACTCCCTTCAGTCTAATACCTTAATCACAGGATCATATTTCTTCCTTGCTGTAACCATTATTTCATATTAATGCCCAATCCATGCCCTGATTCTTTCCAGTCTTTATGAGTGTGCAAAGTTTAATTCACTTAAATCATCCCACTGGCCAAGAAGTTTGCCAGTACAGAGCCAACTGGTGGCTGAAGGCATCAGATGACAAGTCTCTGGGGAAAGAAACCTTTTAACTACACGGGAGACAGAACAGAATCCACATTCAGTTGTCTCATTGAGAAATATCTCAATTATACAATTACAATGCCAAGAATGCATTTCTACCTGAAAGCCAAAGAATGATTTCCAAACTAACAGCTGTCTTGTTAATATTAAAGGCTACAATAGAGTAAGGGATCTGAATAAATTATTTTATCTATGCTTTTGTTGAACTAGGAGGTATCTCCTTGTTGCCAGAAACACCTATGAACTGTTCTAACTCAAACAGCAAAGGAAACTTACCATGAGCTACCTTAAAGCAGCTCACCAGTAATGTATGGAAATGTTTCTACAGCCTTTTATATATAGCAAACACTGGAAAATTGCCTACCTCTTTGTTACAAATCTATTCAGTGTCACCGGGAGAGTGTCAGAGTTTCCACTGCTCTGATACAAAACTGAGGAGCTGCAATCTACAGTTGGCTTTTAGTAGTTACAGTTTTAAAATTATTAAGGTAGTAACTAAAACTATTTTCCTATTTCAGATGTTACTGTCATACCATGGGCTAACAAAATCACAACCAAAAGAAATTAGCAGTTTGGGATTCATTCATCTCAGAATAAAAGTGGTCAGAGGTTTTGGGATTTTGGTTGGTTGGTTGGTAGTGTTGGGTTTTTTTGTTTGTTGTTGTTTGGGGTTTTTTTGTGTTCTTTTTTGTTTGGTTGGTTGGTTGGTTGGCTGGTTGGTTTTGGTTTTGTGTTTTGTTCCCCCCCCCAAAAAAAAAACCCCACCAAAACGTTTCTCAAGATAAATGTTTCTAATTTAAAAGAAAACTACATTTTTGTTTCTGACTTTAAAGGAACATAAGTTTATTTTATCTTTACTATTTTTAGGTTACTTTGTGACAGTAGTAGTAGATGACAATAAATGAAAATATCAGGTTGTTTCATTACAGGAATATAAAGAAATATTTTAACTAAAGAGAGGCTATTTTGATCTTTATTAAACAGTCACTGCCTTTAAATATTTTTTAAATAAAATGTGATGCATGAGCTACATGGCTTATTATGCTATGAAATAATGTTAAAATTCAAAAATAAACAATAAATTTCTAATAACACTTCAAAACTCTAAAACCAAATTTAAAATGTCATCAGAAATACTTTTCTTCGGTTTTTTTTCCCTTTCTAAGGAATTATAGAAAAATGTGTCTCCTACAAGTGGGAAATAAAAAGTTTTAAAATGTAAAAATGTCATGGAACATGGAAACTGGATTTTTTTAAAAACTATCTCAGACATAGCTAAAAATACCTTATAATTTGAAACTCAGCATTTGTAGCAATTACTACGAGACCTAACTTACTCCTGTTCTGATTCCTTTTTTTCCCTATGAGCTCAGCCAGCTCAGTTGTTTTATCACTTCTGTGATCTCCATCCTACATTATCTCCAGAACCACTATCAAAGGAATGCATATATTTTAAAGCTCTGGGAGGACTGTGTGAGACACTAGGGGCTGCTTCCTTTCATTTTACAAACTATCAAGTGAGTTTTCATCCAGGACATGAACCCAAACATGTCTGTATACAACAGCCTGATCTCTGCTATCATGTACATGCAAGTAAAAAATTGTTGTCCCTGTATCTGAGTTCTGATGAACCTTTAATGAATTTATGCCAACACTTTTCTTTACAGCACAAACCAGGGACTGGTTACTGTTTATGCTTAGACCACTCATAGCTCTACTTTCAGGTTTCAATTCCATGAGTTGGGCTCATAGGACCCATCTCTAGGCTCCCAATGCCTTCAATCAGGACTTGTTCCAATAAAATCAGTGGAGCTTATGTTAGCAGCAGTGGAAGAAGACGTTTTCAAAGGAAAAGATCACAATCATCCACTTACGTTTCATGAGTCCCGAAAAAGAAGATGGGGTATTTATTTGCTGGAGGCTTCACGGCTCCTTCAGGGAGTTCATCAATCTGTGAGATAGAAATGGAAAAAGGATTATTCCTGAATGTGGTGTCCCTCATTCAAGAACCTCTACCAAGCCATAGAAGTGCTGGTGCAGGTATCCCACAACCCTGGGGGGTCCCTCTGTGCTGCAGTGGGGAATGGAAGAGGGCTGCTGATTTTCAGGCAGGCAAGTCACCCAATGTCAGCACAGGACAGAAACACAACAAGGAGCCAGGACCAAGGAGCACACTAAGAGTTTTAATGATTTCATGGGCATTATAATACAGAAAGGCAATAAAATACTCTGTTTAAGTGTTAACTTCAGATGCTGCCTCATCAAAGGCGCTGAAGCCCAGAGGGTAATCCTGTCTATCTCACACAGCCACCTAAATAACTTCTGCAACAAATTGGGAACAGATGGCACCTCTAAGACTCTGCAGCTGGAAAACTGGACAATCTCTCATCAGTGTTTCCTGGTGGTGTTGGTGGTACCCAGTGTAAACTGCATAATGCATGCTAGGCAGGAGGGCCTGGGATTCTCCTTCCCCTAATACTAGGGGCCCAAAAACCCAAAAACTAGGGGCCTAGTTTTGGCCCCTGCTCCCCTCTGCACTCCATCTCTTCTTTCATATTGTATTCCTGGCCTCATATTTCTCAAGATACAGCTGCAGAGCAGCTAAGGGAGGGACAGTGAGGGGGCTCTCCTGAGATATAAGTGGGATAGGATAAACTCCTCAGGATGAGCAGTGCCTAGACCTCATCTTCCAATGTCCAAATGTAAGCATTGGTTGTGAAGCAGAAGGTTAGGCCCGTGGTTTAGACTTGTCCGTATCTAATAACAGAGTCCAGGTGCCTACTCACACAAATGAGAAACACAGCACAGCTTTAAAAAGAAGTGCCTGCCTTCCCAGAAACATCACTTCTGAGCATATGTGGGCATCTAACATTAAGTGTCCAGAGAACTCTCCAGCTAAGAAGGGGGAGCCTAATGAATCTAGATATCTGAAGGGTAACACCAGAGAGCAGGTGAATGGCTTCCTGCCCAGGTCTCAGGCAACTCAATCACAACATAGGCATATTGAATCCTGCCAAATGTCACTGGAACTGAGAGCAAAGTGCTGACATACCAATGCTATACAAAATCTGCTTCTCAGCAGAGCACAGGGATGGAACCTGCATGTTTTCACTCAGGAGGCCAGGCCCACATGTGCTTTCCTTCT